ACAGTGGATGAAACCTTACTCTCTGCCAGGGTGGACAGGAGTGGAGAACCTTGGGTAGAGTAAGAGCTCCAGAGAACAGGAGGGGACAGAAGCATGATGCTTAACACTGAGACACCTGCCGGCCATGTGTGGTGACCTCTGCCTCCTGCTCCTGCCAGGCCAGTTCTCTGGCCAGGATGTCTTGGCCCCTCACTTTGGCTCAGACCCTCTTCAGACCCTGAAACCTATTCTGGTTTACACCTGAGGTGGAAGGACCCCTGGGAGAACAGCTGGATGGTGGTCCCTGCTTGTAGCTCTCGCAGCCTTCCCTGCCTTCATCTCAGGGCACAGATGAAGCCCTCTGGCCATCCCTGTGACCCACGTGCACACGAGGTTTCAGAAGGGGACATCCCCTATGGCCTGGTGCCTGACACGTGAGCGGAGGGCTGTCTGTTCTTCCCAGAGTGTCCAGAAACCCCAGTCAGGTGTCTGCCAGAGCCCTGGTCTACTCACTGCTCTGACTTCCTGAATATGTTCCAAGTCCTCCTGCGGTGCCTGGGACCAGCCAGGGCTGGCAGTGCCACTGAGTGGGGAGCCCCAGCATGGCTGTAGGCCTGCAAGAGTCCTAACCCTACTTCTCCCCCTCAGCTGTTTTCCAATTCTCTGTCCGACATATGGGGTTGACCAGATGCCCCAAGGAGCTCAGAGACTCACATGAATGGGACCATACTTGGACCCCAGGGCTGAGTGTGGCTCCTAGGAGCAGCCTGGGGAGCAGGTGCTTCTGAGTGACCCTGGGCACCGAGGGCAGCTGGATGGTGGGATCTGGGCAGTCTGCCTACTGCCTCTGAGGATCCCTCCAGGTCAGGCAGCCATCTCCTCCGATGCCCAGGGGCTCTTCCAATCAGCATCGTCTCCCATTAGCCATCATCGGAGTGGCATTAGGCCTCCAGGTTGATCTCCAAGTTGTCGTTCTTGGAGAATGGGCTCCTCTCATGTGTGGAAGGTGTGGGTTCAATCATCACTGAGAGAATGTTGAAGAAATCGTCTATCTGTAAAATATGAAAAGAAGTTTACTCTCAGCCAAAATGTGTGTGACTTCAGGCAGCGTGCAGCCTGGGCGAGCTTAATCCAGGTGGCCCTGAACATGCTCACCAAGATCCTACTGTCCTCTCATGGATGTTGAAGGCAAAACCACAAGTGGGAAGGTAGTGGGGGAGAAGGGATTATACCAGTTGCTCGAGGACAACAATCCTTGGTGACCAAGATCGATAACAAAGGCGGGGCCTGCCCAAGGCTGCACTGGGTAGCTGTCCTTGCGGAAGTTGTCCTCGTATGAGGCCGCAGTGGTCTTTGTGTTAGGTCGTGTTCTGGCGGAGTTCTTATATAACAGCTCTCAGGGCCAGCTAGATGTCATGGCGGTTAAGGCGGCTGGATCCCACATGGCTGACTGTGCGTTTTGAGTCTTGGACCCAGTGGCTTGGAAAACATGCTGGATGGGGAACCAGCAGTTAGCGTAATGGCTATGTCGCTGGACTCCCACGTAGTCGACCGTGGTTCGCGTCCCGGACCCGGTGGCTTAAAATGCACACCGGGCACGTGTGCGTGCGTGCCCAAGATCCCGAGAGGAGAATGGAGGAGAAGGGATTGCGGCGTGATCATCCCCCCTGGGGGGTGATTTCTTGCTTTCTGTCTCTCTGTCTCTCTCTGTTTGTCTGGCGAGCGCACGCGCCCTATAGCAAAAACCGCTCAAAAAAACAAACAAAAACAAACAAACAAAAAAACATGCTGGATACATGGGTATATGCCCCAAATCCCAAGAGAATGGAGAAGAAAGGGCTGAGGAGTGGCCATCTCCTCTGGGGAGTGCTTTCTTACTCTCCTCTCTCTCTCCCACGGAGGCACATACCCTGTGTGGTTTATATAATAACAGTTCTTGCCATCAGGTGTACCAGCATGAAAAAACACCTGCGCCACGGCCTTCCCCAGCTCAGTTTGGTCAGGGCCCAGACAGACGTCTTCCTTTCGATTCTGAATAACTCACAATCACAACATAGGAATACAGGACCATGGCCTCGCCCATTCAGGAGAACGTGGTGGGAGGGTGGATTGCTCTGCGTAAAATCTGGAACGTGAAAAAAGCCTTCACTTTCTGGCGTGCCTTGGGTAAGACATGCATTAGGCCCTCAGCGAAGCGAGGAACGGCCCAGAGGGATGGCTGAAGCCGTGGCCACAGGCAGCACAGTCGAGAAGCAACATCCAGGCACTGCATGACAGTCACAGGAGTTGCTCAGAAATGCTCAGGTGGGTCAGTGGCATCTCCGTATTCACAGGTTCTGCAGAGCCGTGAGACAGTGGAATCCTCAGGGCCTAGCTGGGAAGGGAAGGCGGAGGCCAGCTCCTTTCAGTACCGTGTCCCCATGCCTGGCCTGGGGCCTGACCAGAGGGCCCTTGAATGACAGTGCTTGCCACTGCCAGTGGGAGGTGCTAGGAGCTCCCACTCTGGAACCACCACCAGCGCGCCTTGCACTCAACCCCCCAACACCTGTGCTCCCTCAGGAACTCTGTCCCTCGAGGTGAGGAGACCAAGGCAGAGAGAGAGAGAGAGAGAGAGAGAGAGACGAGCTAGCTGAGGGTCCTGCTGATGCACTGGGTCAGCACTTTCCCTTCACCGGTGCTGGAGCTGACACCAGGACTAAATGGCACCAGCTCTGGGGGACAAGGGACAAAGGTCCACTTTATAGCCCTCTGAGAGCTGCTGGTCCCCTTCGAACAGCGTGTTAACGTGGTTGTGACCAGTGTGGAGGGGGCGTGGTGTGGCTGACCACCCCCAACTGTTGAGTTTCAGGACTTGTGGACCAGTGTCTTCCTTGGCTAGGTGACTGGCTTACCGTGTGTGCATGTGTGGGTCTCCTCTCTGAGCCTGCGGCCTGAGGGTTCTGGGGCTCCCAGAGGTGAAAACCTGGCCTGAGCTTGCTCTGTCCACTCCATGTCGCGAGCTCCCTTGGGGGGGGGGCTTTTGTGTGTCTTCAAACTAGGAGCAGGGATCAGCCTGAGCCCGCCTCTGGGGAGTGCTTTCTTACTCTCCTCTCTCTCTCCCACGGAGGCACATACCCTGTGTGGTTTATATAATAACAGTTCTTGCCATCAGGTGTACCAGCATGAAAAAACACCTGCGCCACGGCCTTCCCCAGCTCAGTTTGGTCAGGGCCCAGACAGACGTCTTCCTTTCGATTCTGAATAACTCACAATCACAACATAGGAATACAGGACCATGGCCTCGCCCATTCAGGAGAACGTGGTGGGAGGGTGGATTGCTCTGCGTAAAATCTGGAACGTGAAAAAAGCCTTCACTTTCTGGCGTGCCTTGGGTAAGACATGCATTAGGCCCTCAGCGAAGCGAGGAACGGCCCAGAGGGATGGCTGAAGCCGTGGCCACAGGCAGCACAGTCGAGAAGCAACATCCAGGCACTGCATGACAGTCACAGGAGTTGCTCAGAAATGCTCAGGTGGGTCAGTGGCATCTCCGTATTCACAGGTTCTGCAGAGCCGTGAGACAGTGGAATCCTCAGGGCCTAGCTGGGAAGGGAAGGCGGAGGCCAGCTCCTTTCAGTACCGTGTCCCCATGCCTGGCCTGGGGCCTGACCAGAGGGCCCTTGAATGACAGTGCTTGCCACTGCCAGTGGGAGGTGCTAGGAGCTCCCACTCTGGAACCACCACCAGCGCGCCTTGCACTCAACCCCCCAACACCTGTGCTCCCTCAGGAACTCTGTCCCTCGAGGTGAGGAGACCAAGGCAGAGAGAGAGAGAGAGAGAGAGAGAGACGAGCTAGCTGAGGGTCCTGCTGATGCACTGGGTCAGCACTTTCCCTTCACCGGTGCTGGAGCTGACACCAGGACTAAATGGCACCAGCTCTGGGGGACAAGGGACAAAGGTCCACTTTATAGCCCTCTGAGAGCTGCTGGTCCCCTTCGAACAGCGTGTTAACGTGGTTGTGACCAGTGTGGAGGGGGCGTGGTGTGGCTGACCACCCCCAACTGTTGAGTTTCAGGACTTGTGGACCAGTGTCTTCCTTGGCTAGGTGACTGGCTTACCGTGTGTGCATGTGTGGGTCTCCTCTCTGAGCCTGCGGCCTGAGGGTTCTGGGGCTCCCAGAGGTGAAAACCTGGCCTGAGCTTGCTCTGTCCACTCCATGTCGCGAGCTCCCTTGGGGGGGGGGCTTTTGTGTGTCTTCAAACTAGGAGCAGGGATCAGCCTGAGCCCGACCCTCTCTCACGAGTCACCTCTAGCTCCGTCACACCTGCTGGCCCCTGAGAATGTCACGGAGTATCACAGAGTCATGAGACCATTGCCTGGGCCCCTGGAGTCCCTCAGGGGAGCTGGCCAGGACCATCCGAGCACTCAGACGATAGGGTGTCTGGAGGGCCAAGAGTCTCCAGTGCAGGAGGAGAGTTTCAGCCATCCTCCCTCTGGTCCCCGCAGTTTGCTCTGGTGTGTGAGGAGACCTGAGTCCCATCTGAGAAGCTCTGGGCCTGGGTATGTGGAGGGAGGGCAAATCCCAGGGTAGCAGAAGAGAGAGGGGTTCTGTCGTGGCACCAAGGTGGGCATCAGCACCGAAGTTCGCTCTGAGGGCCACTCCCTTGGCCTGCCCACCCTGCTCAGCCTCACTCCATTGGAAGCTCCTGACGCCAGAGAGCTGAAAACCCCACCAGGCGGGCTGGGGGCACTGGACACCCTGCTGCTGAGACCATAGCGAGGAAACAGAGGGGCCGGGCGGGGCAGGCGGCGGGTGGCGGGCCGTGGCTGGGCGGGGCGGAGGGTGGACGCCAGACCTGTGTCTTGCTTGGTTGCTATAATGAGGAAGTTCTCTGCAGCTCGGTTTCCTTTCCCTGCCGAGCGACAGCCTGAAACAGGAAGTCAGGCAGCTGAGCAGGGTTAGCCGCAGAGGCTTGAGAGGCACCGACGCCGGCCTGGCCTGCGAGAGCGCAGGACCTCGGCTGCCCCCGGTGGCGGGGGGGTGCCCCTCGGTGGCGTGCGGGTCCTGGGGGTGGCTGCAGCCCGGCCGGAGGAGGCCCACGGCCGCCATGGTCCCCTGCTGGAACCACGGCAACATCACGCGCTCCAAGGCCGAGGAGCTGCTCTCCAGGACGGGCAAGGATGGCAGCTTCCTCGTGCGCGCCAGCGAGTCCATCTCCCGGGCCTACGCGCTCTGCGTGCTGTGAGTACGGCACCGGGCTCCGGTTTCCTACAGGGACCTCCAGGAACCTCCAGGACTCCGAGGAAGGAGCCTAGCCAGGGTTCGGCGAGGCGCCTCGTGAGGTGCCCGGGCCTGGGATGGGTCGCTGTGGGTGGGAATGGAGGAGTAGCTTGCGTGTACAAACAGGCTTCATGGTGGTTCAGCCCAAGCCCTTCTCAGGCCTTGCCTTGGTGTTCAGGGAGCTGTCCTGGCAAGTTTTGCAGTGCCCGGGGGATCTCAGAGCTGGTCAGACCCTGGTCTCATTCCAGCTGCCCAGCCCGGTGGTGGTGGTGGTGGGTGTGTGGAAGGAAGGCAGCCCTCTGGCCCAGATGTTGGTTAAAAATACTCAGCTCAGAAACCCAAAGAAGAGCCAATGTGTCCAGAGGGACCCCTTTCTGTGCCCAGGCATGGGGGCCCTGGACATGGGTGGGTTTAACAGAGAGGACTTTCAGTTCAGAAGCTGCTCTGTGGCCAGAGCAGAGGAAGTCACTCTCCCTGCCAGCACGCATCTGTGCTCCCTCCGTCCTGGGCTCTCGGCTGTGTCCCTACCCATTTGGGTCCCTGTGGCCATCAGCTCCCACTGCTGCCGGGCGATGTTGCTGATCTTGCAGTTGTTCTGACACTGGAGGAAGAGCCACACGGATGGTTCCTTTTTAACGTCCCCTTCTTGTCCAGTGTCTAAAGGAAGCCCTTGCCCCTGCAGCCTGCGGTCTACCTGTGTCTCCACTGCCCAGGTGCAGGCAGGAGGGCTGTGCCCACCTGGAAGTCTTAAGGAGCAGCACTGGGCTGGAGAAACGTCTCTGCAAACAGGGTCCTGCCTTTCTGCGGGCAGGAGGGCAAGTGGGGACTCCACATGCGGCCGGGGTGAGCCCTGGCTGCGCTGGCACGCTCAGCACGACCTGAAGTGTGAGTTAATGCCATTTTGCAGGTGAGGACGCTGAGGCCCTGACAGTTAACTGAGTCATGACATTCAAAGCCAAGGCCATCTGTCCCCAGAGGCTGCAACGGAAGACACCACCCAGTGCTGCCTACCCCCGCCTGGCCGTCAGGCTGGGAGTGCGTGTAGATACAGCAGAAGTGAGAGAAGCCGGGCTCTTTCAGGGTCAGCTGAGGGGCCAGCAGCCAGCTGAGACTCAGAGCCGACCCCTGTGGAGTCAGCAGCCACCCCCAAAGACCGGCTTCCTGCACCCCAAAGCTAATACCTCAGAGGAGGGCATGCAGGCTACCTGCCCGGAGTTCCCTGTGGGTACTGCCCCCTCATCCCCATCTCATGGGGGTCTCAATGGGCCCCTAGAGGGGAAGCTCTTTAGCATCTCTTATGGCTCGTCCAACTACACGTGACCCACATGGACTTCCCTCCTGCCCCAGCGGAGCTGACTGAGGGCCGGTTCTCCCAAGCTGAGCTCCAACACGTCCAGGGCCTCCAGGGCTCCCTACCGTTAGCTCTGGCAGCAGCCCTTCAACCAGGGCCCCGTGGTTGTGCAGGTTATAGGCATGGGATGTGGGCTCTCTGACCTTCGACCACAGAGAGCGAGGCAGAGCTGGTGAGGTAGGAGAGCCTCGGGTAGAAGCCTTTGTCTTAGCCGCCATGCTGGTGGGAGGTAAATCGAGGGCCAGGCCTGGTGTCCTTCCTCCATGCCTCCCACCCAGCAGTCTCTCGGAGCACGACCAGGAACAGTCTGCACCTTAGGGAGATGTCGGAGTATGTGCAGATGTCCACCACGCTCCGAGGCCTGGTCTGGACTCTCCTCAGCCTCTCACCCCCAAGGCCCTTAGCGCCAAAAACCAGGAACCTTCCCCTCGGCCAGACCCTCACCCCAGGCTGAGGGCACCCTTTCTCCCCTGCTCAGTGGGGAAGCCGCTTCCCAGCAGGTCGGCATGCTGTGGGCTGCGGCACACAGCCGGCCAGTTACTGTCCAATGAGGACGGGGTCCCTACGGCTGCAGCCTCCATTCTGCTGAGTAAGGAGATTTAACAACTGAAAACAAAAGAAATAAATGAAGCTAAGTCATCTCCCAGCACCTTGTTTGGTGAAAGAACATCATCCAAATGGGCAAGAAGGACACTCTTTTACAGATATCTGTATGTGTGTGTGTGTATATATATATACACACACACACATATCTATATACATCTATATATATATATATACACATACAGATATCTATATACATACATATATACACACACACACATATCTATATACATACATATATATATACACATACAGATATCTATATACATACATATACACACACATATCTATATACATACATATATATATACACACACATATATCTATATACATACATATATATACACATACAGATATCTATATACATACAAATATATACACGCACACACATCTATATACATACGTATATATTCACACACATATCTATATACATATATATACACACACATATCTATATACATACATATATATACACACACATATCTATATACATACATATATACACACACATATCTATATACATACATATATATACACATACAGATATATATACATACATATATACACACACATATCTATATACATACATATATATATACACACAGATATCTATATACATACATATATACACACACACATATCTATATACATACATATATACACATACACATATCTATATACATACATATATACACATACACATATCTATATACATACATATATACACATACACATATCTATATACATACATATATACACATACACATATCTATATACATACATATATACACACACATACACATATCTATATACATGCATATATATACACACATACAGATATGTATATACATACATGCATACATATTATATATGTATGTATGTATATGTATATGTGTGTGTATGTATATATGTGTGTGTGTGTATATATATATATATATATATATATAGTCTCTCGATTGCAGAAGTGACAGGCTGGCATTTGAGCTGTCTCTCTGGGAGTCGCCCAGGCTGCAGGACCCAGGTAGTTCAGCTGTGGGCTCAGGGCCTGCTAGTGAGCCGGGGCTGCAGAGGGAAGCCACAGAGACTCACCCTCCTGCTCTCAAGACATCCATAAGAAGAGGGCTGCTCTCCTCGCCCTTGCTGGGATGCCCAGACCTCAGCCTGCCTGGGCTTCCCAGGCATCCTCTGGGAGCAGGGGACCGACATGCCAGGCCTCCACCTGCAGAGTTAGGTGGGCGTGTTTGGTATTCCCAGAACTGACACAGCCTTGTCAGGGAGCAGCCTTTGTGTCCAAGGGTGAGGAAAGATTTGCCTATTCACATGGGACCCAGCACGGAGGGACGCACCAAGAGACAAGGCTGCAATTCGGTGCCAGCCATGTGGCCGAGACACACACTCCCCCACACCCAGCAAACCATTTCCTCGAGAGAGGTCAACCCTGTCACCTGCCTCTGGGCAGGAAAGCTTTGATCTCTCCCCCAGCAAGTCAGAAAGCCCTGTGGGAGGGAGCCTGCAGCTTCATCTCGGGCACGGGTGGCAGGAGTGCAGAGATCCCCGCAGATGACCCCGTGGTTTGAGTCCAGCTCTGCCCTCCCCAGCCAGGGCCTGAGAATAGGAGGGACAGTGGACTGTTCTGGGAGGGTCTGTGTGGCCCTCATGTGGTCCCCCCATCAAGTCCCCAGCAGAGCCAACCCTGCCCCAGGGAGCGTGTGGGGCACCTTGAGGTGACTTGGGCTCATGGTGGAGGGAAGACAAGGGGCTATCAGGACCGTGCCCCCTTCTTCTGCCTCCGAGGGGCCAACACGCCTGTTGGGTGCTTTACACCGTGGAGCAGAGATGCACCCTCAGGAGGGGGGTCTGTCAGCGCGCGTGTCCACAAGCCAGCCAGCTGGCTCTCCTGGCCCAGGTGAAGGCAGAGCTAGCGCCAGGGCAGTACCGTCAGGGACACGCTTGTCCTATGTAGGAGCAGCTGGGCCCCAGGCGAGCCTGCCCGTCGTGGGGTCAGCTGCCACCCTCAGCCTGAGCAGGCGTGAGGCTGCCTTTGGTGGGAGGGGGGTCTGTCAGCGCGCGTGTCCACAAGCCAGCCAGCTGGCTCTCCTGGCCCAGGTGAAGGCAGAGCTAGCGCCAGGGCAGTACCGTCAGGGACACGCTTGTCCTATGTAGGAGCAGCTGGGCCCCAGGCGAGCCTGCCCGTCGTGGGGTCAGCTGCCACCCTCAGCCTGAGCAGGCGTGAGGCTGCCTTTGGCTCACAGACCAATGCTGGGCCCAGCTACTGTGGCAGGAAGTGGTTTGGGTTCCCATGGCACATGGCTTTACACAGGGGTGGGGACAGGCTCCTTCCCGGGGACAGTTCACCAGACAACCCTGGACTTGGCCTGTCAGCTGTGCCAGAAAGACAAGACGCACAAGAAGGACGTTTCCATAGCAAAATCCCTCCCAGAGAAGACATTCTACTTGTTTGGAAGAAAGACGGTGACAAGCCATGAGAGGTGGAGCAGACCCTGAGCCGTGCTCCGCTACCAAAGGCAGTTATTCACCCGCTGGGCCCAGGGACAGCAGGCGCTTGTAAAGAGCTGTGTGTTCTCTATATGTAGCACCCTAGTCAGTGTCCACAGGGGCTCCCGAGGAAGGATGATCATTCCCTTCACAGAGGGGAAAGTGAGGCAAGAGGGTATGGGACATGCTCACTTTACAGGACCAGCACATGGCAGGGCCAGGCCTTGCACTTACTCTGTCCTCGGGAGGGAGGAGAGAGAGCTAGCAGGGCAGGGTGTGGGGGTGGAGGACAAAGGCCTGCAGAGAAGACCCCACAGACAGAGCTACAGAGCAAGACTGGGGGAGGCTGGGAGTGTCCGGCAGAGGTGTGAAGCTCTTTACTGTGGGGTGAGTGGGCGTGAGCCAATTTCTCTTCCTCTAACCCCTTTTAAAGCTTCAGCGAAGCTTACTCACCTTGTGCAAATGCAGCAAGGCGATGTTTTTCTCATCTGGTATTGACAGACCGTGGGAA